TTCAGGGATCTAGCTTTCGATAGCCGCCTTGCCAGTAACAGCCTCATCAACTATGGCATGTGGCAAAACCAGCCAGAAGAAGCCGAGCCAGCGCCGAGATACCAGATCGAACCTAGCCAACAAGGAGGAAGCACCTGTCGTCGCACCAGCCCTAACGGTGCAGACGACACCAGCAGCGATTGACGATCCTGTAGAGATGCTAGCCTCGCCCACCCGGACGCTTCCCACTATAGACGAAGCCCCTGTCGAGGCACCTTTACCAGACCAGACGCTACCAGTCACTATCGCAGCCACAGTAGAACGTCTAAGAACCACCGACACCCGCCACCATCAGCAGCCTGGGCCATTCTACTCATAAATTCTACAGTGCTCACGCTGTAACAAGGTGTGGCACTCTGCCTCGTCATGCCGCAGCAGCCAGTCATGCCGATACTGTTCCGGACCACATCTATTCATGGAATGCCCCCTGGCGAAAATAGATCCGGCCTTCAAGAAACCTAACAAAAATAGAAAGTGTTCTAACTGCTCAGGGGGTCATGGCGCCAGGTACCAGGGCTGCCCGTACCTGAAAAGAATCAAGAAAGCTATGACAACTACCACCTCCAGGACCACTCAAAACCCAGAGCCAAAACGAAGATTCCAGGCGCCCAGTCTGACAGTTGAATCACCCATGATCAATAATGAAATTGCACTTCTGAGGGACGAAATCAAGACCCTGCGTGAAAAAAAAAAACCCAAAATCAAGGCACTCAGGATTCAAGAAAGAGATGTCAGACCTGAGAAGTATCCTGCAGTCATCACTGGAGACCCAGAGGAGACTGCAGAAAGACAATGCAGAAATGATGGCATTAAAGACCGACTTGATGGCAATGTTAACTGACCTCAAGAAAATGAAAGAATCAAATGCTGCATCCGCCGAAGAACTGAAAGACAACCAGATAAGCCTACTATCCGATGTATCCACTATCAAGAAAGACCTGACAGAAACCAAAGAAAAGCTTACGAAGTCAAGCAAAGATGTACCAAACTGAGAGCAGCACTCCAAGCCACAAACAAAGTTATCGACTCCAGAGAAAACGCCAAGAAAGAAAAGGAGAGAAAAAAGCAGTTTTTCGAATGCTTCGCCAACGCAAAGAAAGAAAAAGAAAAGGCAGCAGAAAAAGCACAACAGGAGGAAGACAGAATAGCAATAGAGGCAGCAGACAAAGAAGAAGCAAAGAAACGGGCAGCAGAAAACCTAGCCAAACAAGAGAAAGCAAAAGAAGCGCTTAAGAAAGTGACCTACATCAACATTGGACTACAAACGGCCCACTTACTACGAAAGCCCATAAACAAGCCACCATGACAGCTGAACAAGCCCGCCCACCAGCCCGGAGAGAAACCTCACTGCTCGCAACCAGCCAGGCATGATGTCCACCGCCAAACTGATTCCCACCCTACCCGATTTAGGCCGTCCCAGGCTATGGTCTGCCCTGTTTAGGGCAGACTGAGACCTCCTCCATATACTCAGAAATCGACAGCAACCTCAGGCGCAATATGAACGCCGCAACAGAAACTGGACGTTAATTGGAAAATAATTCCAAACAACAACACGCAGTCTTCGAACTAACCACTGCTGAATCTAGGAGCCGGTTAAAAGAAGAGCGAATTCTTTTTTTTTTTTTTTTTTCCCACACCAAGTTCCAAGTTCCAACTTCTGGGCCCTTTCTTGGTTGTGACCAGTGTAGTGAACTTGACGTGAGACCGACGTTAGATTGTGTTATATTCATTCGACAGTTCGTTTTGACTTGTAGAAATGTACCATCGTATTTATTTGCTGTAACGCGTACTGTTCGTAGTGTGATTAAATGTATTTTATACGTTACAGGGTAGATAATAAGTGTTTTATTTAGATCTAACTCAGCATTAGATTTAAGGTAGTAGCTAGACTTTGTCAGTAGTTATAACTCTTTGCGATAAGCCGGATCATGCATTGTTTGTGGCGTTAGCACCCGTCGACGCACCTCTAGCCACACTTGGTGTGTGATATAGCTCTTTCGCATCGGGCTGAGTTAGCGCTGTACGTGGGTGGTAGCGGCTCATAGCTTATATCATGAACGTGAAAATGCGCATCTAAGCGATTTTAAAGTTAGAAGCGGCCTGGTTTCAGAATAAGGAGCACTACCCCTCTTGAGGTGTTTTACCTTCTTGTGGTAGTTTCTTTGATAATAAAGACTGTGTGTGTGTATTGCAACCAATGTTTGGCTTATGTGTGTTTGTCAGCAGTGTTTTCCTGTCATTAGCCTACAGCGTAGCCATTTGAATTGAGCCCTAGACATTTAGGTTCCTGACAGGAAAACCGACATCGCAGCTCTCGGACACATTCCCATTAGAGCTTCAGATCTTCAGCAAAGAGCGATGTGGTCTAATCCCGATGATACCATCATCCGTTTGATTGAATGTCCGTCTTACCATTCATATGTCTGTAGAGTGTCGGCCAAATCCCACATTGCACTATTTCTACACACACTTCTTATTCACGCTTTTGCGTTCTTCGCTTACACCCAAAAGGCCTTGACTATATATATAGCCTGTCATGGAGACGTCACTGAAGCCGTCCCCTGCCTTTAGAACCGGCTGTACACACGTCATAATTGTAGCTGGCTGTCAACATGTGAAGACAAATGGTAGAGACAGGTATACTGCGTGCAGAGTGGCACGTATCGCTTGTTTTGGAAACCAAACAGGCAGATAGGCTGGCTGGTTTTGCACCATTTAGGGTAAAACGCTGCATGACAAGGTACATGTTGTGACGTTCCTTTGGGAGCGAGTGAGCAGTGCAGAGGCAGAAATAGATATAGAAGGAAAGTGACTGGGTGATCCGGCGGATACATAGAACTCATCGAAAGGGAAGACGGACATACACTTAGACTTCTGCTGGTACTATCGCAATTTTAACAAGATGCTGCTGAAAATGAGGTCAGGGCGTTTATCGAAATGCCCTGAGTGTTATTATTTCGGTTCTTAACTCGACTCAGCTCTGAAGCGATCGTTTGTGGATTTGCTAATCACGTGACGTGGCAGATTGCTTGGCAATATATGGAAGTCAGTTGGGTTTAGTTTTAAGAAAGAAAAAACTTATGAATAACTCACACCAGAGACTGATCAAAACCATCTTTTGGTCTTTGGTGTAGACTGTTCAGTTCATCAAGCGCCTTGCCAGCTGGGTTAGGCATTGATGCATCTCCACATATCTCGGTCTTTGGTGTAGACTGTTCAGATTCATCAAGCGCCTTGCCAGCTGGGGTAGGCATTGATGCATCTCTACATATCTCGGTCTTTGGCTTTCTGGATTTAATTTCACTGATGATATTCCTCTTTATGCCACTGTCTCAAGCCATGCATCCTTTCTCTTGGCCTGCCTCTGCCTCTTATACCAGGGATATTTCTAGTCGTCGCGATATTTTCCAGTGCTTCTTTTCCTATCACATGACCAAAGAACGTTGTTTGTCTCCTTCTCATTGTTGTATATAATGTTCTGCTTTTATTTCGAGACAATCATTGTTAGTTATTCTGGCAGTCTATGACCTTCGCAACATTGTTCTCAAGAACCACATCCCAGTTACCTCCAAAAACTGTTTAATTTGTTTGCTCACATTCCAGGATTCACTGCCATACAACAGAACAGGCTCGATATAACATTTCAGAATGCGCAAGGACAATCTTGGAAACATTTGTTTAAAATAAGATCACATATGGAAAACTGGGAAGGAAAACAACAACTTCATCACTGGTACAGGTTATCAAAGGAAGAAGATTGCGATAGGTTGAACATGTCTGCGGAATGCCTGGTGACACTTTGGCACTGACAAATCTGTGGTGGACAGCAGGTAGGAAAAAAAAGGAGACGTGGACGGCTGAGGGGAATCTGAAGAACGACAGTAGAAAGGCGAATGAAAGAGTTTAAACTAACTTGTAATACTATAGGCAGACAGACGGTGATCATTTGTGAATGCCTTATGTGTCAACAGCGACATAAAAACAAAGAGATATAGTATAGATATGGCAGTTACTGCTGTTGGGCCTGTAGGTATAAAAAAATGTATATATTCTTGGCAATGATACGATGATGTAGAGTGGTCACTGTTGCCACCCCTTGCAGCATTTCTGTCCAATATTCATTACCCATTCGAGACAATAGGCTATCATGACTGATAGGATTGGCACCTTTCCGTCTTTCCAGACGATTGTGTTATATTGCGCTATGAGGAGGCATGGGATTCACAGCCCATGGCGATGGCGAGTGTGACTAGCAAGACCCGTCCGCGTAAAGAAAAGTCTACCAAAAGTACAGCATGGGATTTCAGGACCACTGTTGTCAACATTTGTGTTTACTATGTTTCTTCTCAGGCGCTCAGCTCTCATCCTTTCTGCAATATTTTTGTTTCATTTATTCTCAATCCCTTCCTGATGTGCCCCCCTATATACAACATGGTCCATGGCATATTGTTCCCCACCCCCAGTGCACCTCAATTTCTGTACCATTCATGTCCCGCTTGCACCACCCTAGACAGTAGGTTAGTTAACTTGTTCACTCACTGAACTCGGTATTTCTGTTGTTAAATTCACAGCTCGGCAACCACACGATTGTTACGTAATTGATAAATATATTACCTCGAAAACAGTTTTCCCTCATTTAAACGACTTGCTCTCAAGAATCTTTTCTCGTTTCCACAAATCGTACTATTTTTTATAGGTTCTTGCTGCCAAGAATCTTTTCTCGTTTCCACAAATCGTACTAGTTTTTATAGGTTCTTGCTGCCAAGAATCTTTTCTCGTTTCTACAAATCGTACTAGTTTTTATGTTCTTGCTGTTCGCTTCTTATAATGTGACCTTGTGGTGATTATTGCCCCTTTCTGACGTTTGTCGTAAATTGTCTTCGGATGATGATGATGATCATCATCATCATCATCCTTCTCCTCCTCCTCATCATCATCTTTTTCTTCTTTTTCAGCATTCTATGCTCTAGAGGTTCATTGGTGTACATATTACCCGCGTCCATTCATTTCTCTGATTGGCTTTCTTTTCCAGTCGGTGACTCCGTGCCTTTGTAAGTCCGCATAGACTTTATTTTCCTACTTCACAGCATTCGGTTCATAGCTTTAAAAAAAAAATACATGTCTAGGATTCGCAGCCTTATGTCAAAACTGTTTAAATGTAACATGTAAGAAGTGCTTTTTCCCCCGCCTCCAAATCCAGAGATTCCAAAATAAGATATTTTTGTAAAGTCCTAACCTATTCTGTATCTCTATTATGTATCTCTATTCTATATTACATCTTCCATCTGATGTTATCCTTACACCTAGATAGTTAAACTTCGTTGCTACCCCCCCCCCCCCCCCCCGATTGCTACCACTGACTTTAACTGTTCCATGCTTGCCCGAAATTAACGTTATTGTATTTAACTGTAAACTTTCAGTTAAATATACCATCGACCAGAAAATAAGGAAATAAATAACAAAACCAACGCAAATTCAGTAAACATATTCACAAACGTAGGCTATAAAACAATACAAATAGGAATTGTGTTTACTTACTACCCACACTTTCCACATTGAAACACCCAACATTTTATACTGTAGAAGTATTAGACCTCAAAATGAAAGTCAAATTCCGGCCTTAAGAAAAACACATCAGGTTAATGCACCGCCCGTTGTCACCAATGCTGCCGAAATTTGTTTGCGAATTGTACCATTTTTGTTGTTGTTTACAAAACAAAACAAAAAAGTACCAAAACACACCCAAAGGTATTAAGTTTTCAATTAAAAACCATTAACACGTCTTTAAGTCACACCTGCAAACACACACTGAAAGGTATACAATTTTCAATTAAAAAAACATTAAAAGTCCATAAGTCATAATTACAAACACATTCACAATATAAAACTGGCTTAGCTTATATTTAATCAGAATTAAAATTATGTGTCCATTACATCATTTCTGTGCCAATACTTTTCCCGCCAAATTTGTTACAAAGACATTTCCGCGGCTTCGTTGGTATAGTTAATGTCCTGTTGAAGTCTTAAAAAAAAAAAAAAAAAAAAACAGCGATTTTAAAAAAATATTAATATTGTTAATTAGAGAAAAAATAAATTCTTTCAGCAGTTGCAAAGGATTAAGGTGATGCAGAAAGATACATTTTTAAACTAAATGAAAGCGATGTTGATCTCCACATTTTTTTTTAAATTCTGAAATTGTAATGCCGTGAAGGCGTAGAGTGTCCATGTTTTCAGCGGCCGTCCTCTTGCTCTTGTAGTTGCTCTTCTGAGATGTAGTGCTTGTGATGGTATTTGATCTTGCTGCATTCTAACCAGATGGCCAAACCACTTGATCTGCTGTTTCTCGATGAATCTAGTACAAGGTGTTGTTCCCACAATTTGCCTGATAGTTTCATTATTCACTCGATCTCGGATGGTTAGGTTGGCTGCTTTTCTCAGGCATCTCATCTCGTAGGTGGTGATTTTGCGTATATGGGCTTTTTTAGATAGTGTCCATGTTTGGCACTGGTAGCTTAATGTTAGAATAAATATGCTATTAATAATCTGTCTCTTTGCACTCATAGTTATGCTTGGATGTCTTAATAATGGTGACCATTGGTATATAAGTGCACTTGCTTTCTGACATCTGGTTTCTATTTCTCTGTCAATTCTACCATCCTCTGTGATCATACTTCCTAGATATTTAAACTCCCTAACTTGATTCAGGGCAGAACCATTCAGCTGTATGTGTAGTGGGGCAAAATGTCTACTAACTTGCATTGTTTCGGTTTTGTTTACATTGATCTTCATGTTGTACTTACTACATGCTGAGTTTAACCTGTTAATGTGGTCTTGCGGTTATATTTGCTATATTTGCACCAATAATTACATCACCTTTATTTTTAGTATACTCCCAATCACACACACACACAAATTTAACACAATGATAACATTTTAAATATTGATGTAAAACTTCTTTGAAAAAAAAAATGTGGGCGTGGTATCAAAAGTACAGTTTTGTTCGGCAGGGATCAAATAGTACCAAGTTTACTCGAAAGTACCAACTTCGGTAGCCCTGGTTTTCACTGCACGTTTCTGACATGACATGGGGTGTTTGACGTCATTAAATGAATTGTACACAGTTGCGAGGCAAACTAACCCCTTATTTACAAAACAGTATGGTTTTAATTTTAGCGCCGTTACCAACCATAACATTGCGTGAATATTCGTGTATGTGTGTGTGTGGAAGGGGGGGGGGAGGGTGTTCATTGTTTGCCATCATCTAAATAGGTCAAAGACAATTGCGTGAATTTCAGACCTGATGGACTGGATTTTAAACACCCAACCGTCAATCTTCAAAAACATCAGAATAAAATTAAAAAAAAAAAAACTGTGTGTTTAGCAAAGGCGTATAAAATTTCTTCTTCTTTGCGTTTTTCCTGCCAACTGTTTTCAGAGGAGAAGGCCACAGGCCTCTATGAAGGCTGCGGTGCGACGCATGTCCTCCTTTGATCCTTACAGCTTGGTTTCCAACAGAATACTAACTGACTAGACTAAGCATCTCTTTACTGTCATTATTCTGTGGTTCATTTCACATGGACAAAGTTCTGAGTACCCAGTCAACACCACCCCTCCCCACCCCCACGTCCTACGAGAGAGTGCAGCCTACGTCCACGAGAGAGTGCAGCCTACGTCCCACGACTGCCTGCCAGTGTTGCCACTTTTCTTTGACAAAAAACATCTAAAACAGAGTCCAAAAAAATATAAATGCATCTAAATTTGCGTGGAAAAAATCTAGAAAAAATATCCAAATGGAAAGAGTCACAAATTACATAGCAATTGATATGACTTACCCTATAAAATCATGTCCTCATCTTTACTGAAGTCTGCCTTACAAGATCCACAGGATAAACTTATCTTGGATGACGAAGTTGAAGCTTCAGATCCAAAATGACTCTGGTATGCTTTAGCTGTTTCAATTTCTTTTCAATTTCTGTTTTAATTTCTTTTAAAACCTAATCAGGGAGCTGATAAGTGGAACAGCCTTTTCCTACTCTTATCAGGCAAGATTTTATGGTCAAGATAAAATTTAATATTTCAAATTTCATCCTGTTTTTTAGGTTAGATTTGACAAATTTACTCGAAATGGAAAAACATCTACCATCTAACCGACAAAAACGCCATCTTAATGCAAGGGGAAACATCTAAATTGGGATGTAAAACATCCAAAGTGGCAACACTGCTGCCTGCAGCCTAGGTCGCACAACTGTATGGAGCCTTACACCCCCGCAACATAGAAGAAGAAGAAGCACATGATGATAGTAAGTGTTTACAAAATTAACAGAAACGAATATTTGTAAGCCTTTCGATTTCTCTGACAGTTCTTATGACGATTCTGTAGAATAGATTAGAGTTCTGTTTGTAAGTCTTACTTTGTTAATTGCATCGCTATCTATCAACCTCTGTGTACATCTTGTTCTATTTATGTCTGTTTCACTAAAGAAAACAGAAATGAACAGTGGATTACTGGGAAATATGTTACCTAAAATCTGGGGGGGGGGGGGGGGGGGCGGGGCACGGTTACAAAAAAGTCGAGAAGACATGAATAATGATGATGATGGATTCCAAGCCTTAGCTGACACCCACCTCTATAATCAGCTTTAAATATATAACATATTTACTTTCTATTCCCTGTTCTGACTTTTTCTTCTTTACGTCATCTTTTACCGCTTCGGATGTCGAGAGAGATATAAGGTCCTGTCTAGTGCTCTTCTGGCTGCCTCGACCATAGACACATCTTAGTGCTGCAGAGTTTCTCTGTTGTTATCTTCCCTTATTGTTCTTTGTCTACCTCTTGCTCTACGTCCCTCTCCTCAATTAGTATGGGTCGTGTATGGTATAGCATCAGAGGGCATTCTCTCCAAGTGGGCAAAACCATTTGATATTTGTTGTCATTGTATGTAATTTAGAATTGGTTCTATGCTGACTCTATCTCGTATGACCTCATTCCTGATTTCATCTCGTCTGGTGGCTCCTAGTCTTTCGCAGATACCTAATTTCCATGGTTACTAATCTCCTTCCGTGTTTTGTTGTGAGTGACCACGTCTGGCACTGGTAGCATAGGGAGGGAATTAATATGCTTTGTATGAGATGTCTCTTTGTGCTGACTGGGATTGTCTTATACTGTAATAGGGAGCTAGCTGTTCCAATGCTTGGCCAGCCTTACTGCATCGGATGTCAATTTCTTCATCTAATTTACCATCTCCAGTGAATTCTGTTCCAAGATATTTAAACTCAGTTGTCTTTTTAATATATGTATGCTTAAATGCTATGTTTAAATCCTGCTTCTTTTTTTCCTACTGACATAACTTCTGTCTTTTCGATGTTGATTCTCATTAAAAAAAAAAAAAAAAAAACATTCTTTTTTTGTGGATGTGAAAAAATGTTGCAAATTCATGACTGTGTCTGCTTTCAGGGCCTGGTCATCGGCAAAGAGTTATTCATTGATGTTACTATTATTTTCATTCCTATACCTGGCATCCTTGCTTATGCTGTCACTGGAGGTGATAAACAGCAATGGCGATAAGACACATCCCTGTCTTACTCCAGATGTTACTTTAAATGGTTTAGATGTTCCCTAATTTATTCTAACTACATTTCTTAATCGCTATATAAGCTTTTGCAAACTTCAATGAGGTGTTCACTTACTCCATATCCAGCCATTACTTTCTATAATTTTTATGTATCGACAGCTTTCTTCTGGTCAGTGTTGCCACTTTTCTTTGACTAAAAATATCCAAAACGGTGTCAAAAAATATCTAAAAAGATCTAAATCTGCGTGGAAAAGATCTAGAAAAAACATCCAAATTGAAAAAGTCAAAAATTACATAGCTTTTGTTATGACTTCCTACATAATCATGTCCTCACCTTCACTGATGTCTGCCTCATAAGATCCACAGGATAAACGTAGCTTGGATAATGAAGTTGAAGCTTCAGATCCAAAATGACCCTGGTGTGCTTTAGCTGTTCAAATTTCTTTATAAGTGGAACAGTAGGCTTATTTCTCTAGTCTCATCAGGCCGAATTTTAATGGCACGATAGCATTCAAGAGGTCAAATTTCATCCTGTTTTTTAGGTTAGATTTGATATAATTCCTAGCACTGAAAACTCTTTCTACGTCAGCATTTGAGTGGGGTAGTATCATGGCAGACATGGCACTTTAAAGAGCTTACAGAATGGACTGTTTGATGAGGCACCTTTAAATTGTCTTACTTCACTCCAAAACGCTTTAGTTTCCGTTTTGTTTGTCCATTCAGCTAACTTTATTTCAAGGCTGTATATAATGTATTGTATTGCTGTTGTCTGACAAATGATTTGGAAAACCAGTAAAGTGTTTCACCAATAAGGTATTCCAGATTCCTTGGTAAATATTTAGATGAAGCATGTGATAATGCTAGCTGCAATGAATGACACATACATTTTATAAGTATTAACGATGGGTTAGCTTCCTTCAACTTGGCATTAACGCCATTGTTTATACCAACCATCACTGAGGCATCATCAGTACCAATTACATAAAAATTCTTCAAGCC